ATCTCTTGTCAGACCCGCTGTACCTTCTGCTGCTGCTGCTGCTGCTGTTGTTGCTGCTGCTGCTTCTCCTCCTTCTACTGACAGTTTCTCAGCTGCTCTCCCAGCAGCAGCAGCAGCAGCAGCAGCAGCAGGGGGTGCGCTGAGGGGCGGAGGGCCGTCTGACGCGCTTCCTGTGGCTGTTTGCAGCAGCGCCGCAATTTGCTGCTGCGCTGCAACAATATACAGCAGCAGGCCGCCAATGTTTTGTGTCTGCTGCAGCAGCGCCACAGCTTCCTCTCTTGCTGCTTCATCGAGTTGCTGCTGATGACCCGCAGCAGCAGCAACAGCAGCAGAGACAAAGCCTTGTGCAGCACACTTGCTGCAGTTCGCGCCTGAGTTTGCTGCAGAGAGAAACAGCCAAAGGACCTCAACGCCTAACCCAGAAGCAGCAGGAGCAGCAGAAGCTGCTGCTGCATCAGCTTCAACAGCAGCAGCAGCAGCAGCAGCAGCAGGGGCAGCGGCTTTGGGCGTTATTGTTGTGATTAAGCTTTCCCCTTGCTGCTGCGGGTCCTGGTGCGGGAGTTGCTGCTGCTGCTGCTGCTGCTGCTGCGCCAGTTGCTGCAGCAGCAGCTGCTGCCGCTGCATGTGCTGCAGCAAAGCCCCCAAGAGCAGCCGGTAGGCAATGAGAGAGTCTTCGGATGGCTGCGTTTGTTGTAGGAGTTGCTGCTGCTCCTGCCGCTGTTGCTGCTCCTGTTGCTGTTGCTGCTCCTGTTGCTGCTGCTGCTGCTGCTGCTGCTGTTGCTGCTGCTGCTGCTGCACTGACAAGGGCTGCAGCGCCGCACTTTGTTTTTTCTCCAGAAATGCGAGGCGAAGACAAAGCTAAGAAAGAAAAAATAAAAACAAATATATAAACGAAAATATACAAATAGAAATAAAACAAAAGTACAAACAAAAAAACAAAAACAGATATACACGATTACATAAACATCAACAAACAAGCACGTCATCCACTGACACAGGGCTTAGGGTTTAGGGTTTAGGGTTTAGGGTTTAGGGTTTGGGGTTAGGCGCACGTCAGTAAGAAGAGAGAACAGCCGCTCAACAGAGCCGCTGCAAGAAGACGGGCCGGGGGCCTGCAAGCAGCAGATGCAGCAGCAGCAGCAGCAGCAGCAGATGCAGCAGCAGCAGCAGCAGCAGATGCAGCAGCAGCAGCAGCAGCAGATGCAGCAGCAACAGCAACAGATACAGCGGCAGCAGCAGCAGATACAGCGGTAGCAGCAGCAGATGCAGCAACAGCAGCAGATACCGCAGCAGCAGCAGTAGCAAGTGCAGCAGCAGCAGCAACAGCAAATACAACAACAGCAGCAGCAGCAGCAGATACAGCAGCAGTTGCAGCAGAAGCAAGTCGAGGAAATAAGAAGAAGAAAGAAACAAAGAAAAAGAGAAGAAAGCTCAGGGGTTTACATCTGCTGCTGTGTTGTTGCTGCTGCTGCTGCTCTCTGTTTGTGTTTTCTCTGCTTCGATTTCTTTAATTGCAGCCAACGCCTGCAGCAGCTGCTCGCTGCTGCTGCCTTGGTTTGCTGCTTTCCGCTGCAGCAGCACCACTTGCTGCTGCAGCTCGCGTGCTGCTGCCTCCTGCTGCTGCAGCTGCTGCTGCAGCTGCTGCTGGGTTGCTGCTGCTGCCGCCAATGCCCTCTGCTTCCCCCGCTTCTGAGCAGCAACGCGCTGCAGCAAGGCTGATGAATATGTTTGCTGCAGCAGCAGCAACTCCTGCTGCCACTGCTGCCGATCCAGAATGGCAGCTTCCTGCAGCAGCAGCAGCAGCAGCAGCAGCAGCAGCAGCAGCAGCAGCAGCAGCAGCAGGAAGGACAGCATCAGCATCCGAAGCAACAGCAGCAACAACAGCAGCAGCAAATTTACTTTGCTGCAGTTCGTCATCGTGTGTATATACACCGGAAATGTTTCCGTGTTTTGTGTTGTTGGCTCTATAGACATTTATTTTTGGTTATAAACCCAACTTCCTCTCATTCGCATTATTTTATCTGCTGCTGCTGCTGCTGCTGCTGCTGTTGCTGCTGCTGCTGCAGCAGCTGTTGCAGTAGCTGTTGCCGCTGCTGCTCCTGCTGCTGCTTACCTGCAGCCTGGCCACTTTGTGTTTGAGTTCTTCTGCCTCTGTTGCTGCTGTCTGCTGCTTCAGTGTTGTCTCCTCCTGCAGCAGCCGCAGCTGCTGCTGCAGCAGCAAATTGTTATGGAGGCGGTCGGCCTCCAAGGCGGAGCGTCTGAGGGCCCCTAGGGCCTGCTGCAGCTGCTGCTGCTGCGCTGCATATGCAGCAAGTAGCTGCTGATGCTGCTGCTGTTGCTGCTGCTGCTGCAAAGCCATGCCACTCTCTGGGCTCCAGCAGCAGAGGCACGCGTAGGCGCATGAGTTGCTGTTGCTGCTGCTGCTGCTGCTGCTGCTGCTGCAGCTGCAGCTGCAGCAGGAAGCAGAGTTGCAGTGTACAGACACTG